AGCGTGGCGGCGCTCCCGCCCGAGGGTTCGGATCCCACATACAGACCGGTTCCCGCTCACTGGCTGAGCTAGGCGTGGGAGCAACACCGAGGGTTGCGATCCCGTTGCCGGTCCTGGTCCGGTACGGGCGTGACACTGAGGGTTGCGCTCCGTTGCCGGACACGGAAAAAGACAAATAAAATNCCGAGGGTTGCGATCCCGTTGCCGGTCCTGGTCCCGTACGGGCGTGACACTGAGGGTTGCGCTCCGTTGCCGGACACGGAAAAAGACAAAAAAAATAAAATAAAATAAAAAATAAAATAAAATTTAAAGGAAAAAAAAGATAAAAGTCACACGTAAACATACCCTCATACCCTGCTATTTTCATGTGCGCACATTCTGTTGCAGCAGTGTCCAACAGAATTTTAAACATTAGACAAAACCCTCATTCTCTATTAGACTAAAGAAAGTCCTTTCTTTTCTTCCTAGTGGGGTTTACTTCCAAGGGACCACCATCGGCATGGCACCCATCATGAGCATGTGTACGGCAGAACAGTCCGGAGGGGTTGTCATGGTAAGCCAAGGACAACAGGAGCTGGTTTCCCTTGTTAATGATTTCCTAGGAAATCACTACTTTTATCGGACTTTGGGAGTTAGGTCCTTTCTTTTAATTCTTTATAGATTTAACTCTACTCTTACTTTAGCTATGTTTCTGATCTTATATATCCCACAATATCTTAGGGAGGGGCTGTTTAGAAGACACAAATTGGGGCCGGCCCGGTGGCGCACTGGAGAGTGCGCTGCTTGGGAGCGCGGCGGTGCTCCCGCCGAGGGTTCAGATCCCATGTGGAGACTGGTTCCCGCTCACTGGCTGAGCGCAGTGTGGGTGCAGCACGGAGGGTTGCGATCCCATTGCCGGTCCCCGGTACGGGCGTGACACCGAGGGTTGCGATCCCGTTACCAGTCAGTAAAAAAGACAAAAAAAGGAAAAAAAAAAAAAAAAGAAGAAGAAGACACAAATTGCACACAGGAAAGGTGGGCGTGTAAAAAGAGTTCGGTGGAGACAAGTCTACCCCTTTTATGGAGAAACATTTTCAACTGGGACTTTCGGTCAGAGAATTCCAATCCAGGAATCCCTCCTAGCATTGGGAAAAGCCAGCATTTGGGGTGGGGGGGTTGCACTCATCACTCAGCTTTTTGAGACACTGTGGTGTCACCAAACGTTACCATTTGGATGGATGATTCTGCCTCCAAGCCCAACAGCCAAAAGTCAGAGGTTTTTAACTATTAACCACTGCAAATGCTTTACATATCTCCTGGCCAGTGTACAATTTGCCTTTAAAATGACCTTATTCTTGGAAGGCGGAGACCTAGGTTTATTGCTTTACAAGGATAATTTTGTCATATGTGGGACTTCGTATGAATTTAAGGGGGCGGTAGCTTGGATGGGCTGCCCATCGGGGGTTATGCTCTGCTCCATCTGATAATTCAGGAGAGGTTTTCACTCTATTCTATGCCTGCTCTGAAAATTTAACGTTCCGAGCTCACCGACCCTCAGACAGGGAGTCTCGTCGGAGCCCGTTCCCCATTTCCATAAAACAAACAGAACCTTGCCCTCCCAAGAAACCCTGCGTTCCTCCACGTTTCTCAAACAAAACGTTTGTGAATGTTCAGTTGTATTAAACGGTGGAAGGGGTTATGTTCTGCTGACTGTTGTTTTCTCCCCACATGCTGCCTGATTTAATCTTCTCGGTGAATATTCATAACAAACATTTTCCTCTTCCCTGGGTGCACTGGTTGGTCATTAATATAAGCATGCCCTGAACGTGTAGGTGTTTGGAGGAACAGCACCACTTATTGGATTTCTGGCTTGAACGGCTACTCTCTGGTTTTCTTTGAACCTGGAAGCCCTGTATGGGATCTGCACCATAGAAGCAATTGGAAAGTTTGGTTTTTGTTGGTGCCAGGTTAATTTCAAGATCCTAACTGTATTTTTACAGAGCAGCCTGTAAATTTTTAAGAGGGAATAATTTTCTGTTTCATGGTTCTGTGGTCAGTTGGTACTGACTTTGCCACTTAAGATTGGTGTAAATATCTTTTTGAGAGCCGAATTGGATTCTTCATAAGCATAGTGGGTTCTGCCACTGTGCAGGTCTAAAATGTTCCTATAATTGATCCGACCATATCGAGTGGCTTTCTTCACCTCATATCCCTAATTCTGTTTCCATACAAGCACGGTATCATAATTCTTTAAAAGCATACAGGGAAGCCTATTTTTTTTTT